GACTGCATAAACAAATGTTTGTAGCCTTAGTGACGTCTACACAATAATTAAGGTTTTCTACCTCATGTGGAAAACTTGAGGTTTAGTGAAATGCCATGCTAGACTGCCTTGGCCTTACCTGCATTCTGAAATTATTCCAGACAGGATGTTAAACATATTTCCTTGGTTTTATTTAGAGAACACTTTGTACATCACACTTTGCGTGATGAAATTACACACGCCAAAATAAAATATGCAAGATTTACTGCTGCATCTTTATTTTATGATTCCATTTAGATACTTTTGTGAAAACCCAACAATTACTGTTTGTTTACTTATTTGGTGTAAGTTCCAGGGGGGAAAAAAAAGTTTTGAATGTAGAAAAGGCAGAGGATGAGGGGTTTTAAAGCCTGTTGCCATTGCAAATAATTTGGGGGATTTCATTTTTTTTTCTTTGCAGCACTGTAGAATCTGTTTTGGGAACGTCCTTAACTACAAAAGGCCTCTATAATAATTTCAGACACAAGGGACTGCATGGAGAAATCCTTATATTCATCAACTTCAGATTCATTGCACTTTCTGTTTAGCTAGCCATTTCCTAGTGGAACAGAGATATTTTATTTGGCTGGTTTTGGATTTCAGTACAGGAGAACAGTTGTCTTCACAAAACTGGCTGGCTGAAAGAATTTCCTTGCTTATTTTTCCTGTGTTCTTTTTTATTTTATTTGAAATACTGGATACTAGTACCATTTTATTTTTTGTTTGAAATGAAAGGGGGGAAAGAGAAGGGCAAATAGAATGTAAAATGCCTTTGCATTTGTTATTTTGGATTTATTTTCCTTGTACTGTTTCTTACCTGCAGGTTGATAATTAGCTTTTTAAGAGATAAACACAATAATTGTTTAGCAAGAAATCCTTTCAGGGATTTTTTCTGTGTGCATGAAAAACAAAAAAACAGATATTGTGTTGTATTGTTGTATGAATGTGACAAATGCCTTACTGCAGTCTGAAGTACTTGTATGGAGGCCAAAAAAGATATGATGAACAAATAATATCACATTAGTAATTGCACATATTTATGATTACCTTTAAAGTAATGCATACAAAATCTGTTTTATACATAATATGAGACTGTTCTGATATGGTTAATAATATTAAAATTGTACTATACTGTATATGGGCTACACTGTATACAATATGAGTTTAGATAAAAGGGTTAGGGTAATTTGTTGGTAGAAACTCATAGTTGAAATACGTCCAGCCACAGGTTGTCTAATTTCTTTTAAAATGTAGCTATCCTTTACCTTCAACACATTTGGGGAACATATTAAAGCTGTCTATGCCAACAGTGTAGGAGTCTTAAGGCTATCACCCCAGCCAAGACTCAGTAATCTCCTTTAGGCTTCTGTCATCTGGAAATCTTGTACTGTAAAGGTGAGCCTTTGGATTTCAAAACAGTGAGTTCAATTCATAGCTCAGTTCATAATTCAGCTGCTGAATGGTACATTCATAGACGGTTGCTTTAGCCAGGGGTTCCCAATTCTGGTCCTGAGGAGCTATCCACCTGCAGCTGAGCTCTTTACATTAATGAATTCCTCAACCGAACCAACAAGGTTCTTGGTTATAACCCTCAAATTATTTTTTTTCTACTCAAAGGGTTCATATTTTACTGTAAGTTATTTAAGAAGTGAACTAGTTAAAAGACAACGTCCAATACATTTAGAAACTGAAAAGATAAATAATTTATATTTATTGTATTATCAGGTCTATCGAGAATTCAGATACTTAAATTGATGCTCAGGAGGAACAAACACCAGCAGGTATGTGGATCTCCAGGACCAGGATTGGGAACCCCTGCTAGAAGCAACATACAGTAAGTAGAAAACATCCTGTCACATCATATTCCTTGGCAAGCTTGATTATACAGATTTTTTAAATAAAACTGACATAAAACTCTCCTGCAATTGAAAGTAATTATTTTGTTTGGGGATCAGTTACCAGAATCCCCTTTGAGTCCAGGTGGACCATTGGCAGCATTTTGCCTTCTACAGCTGAGAGTGGAATTTCATGGGTGGTGGGAACCTCTATCTGGTAGACTATCTGGTATCTTGTTGGTTTTGGTGCTCAGTGGTTTGTCAGTCCCCTGTTACCAGACCAGCGTGAAAGTGGTTTGACGTAGGGCAGGATGTCAGTGTTGTTTCATTAATATGAAAGAAAACTTGAAAATCAAGATTTGCTTTAGTATTTTGCTCTGGCAAACCTCAGTTAATTTATGTGCTCAAAATTACATGAACAAACCACTTAATTTCTTGAGTGGCCTATGTCTGTATGGGAAGATATTGGTTCATGTCACTTCAGAAAAAACACCTATCTCTGTAAGGTAGTGAAGCTAAGACACAATCACGGAGATGGGGATAAAATCATATAAAGGCACAGATTAGGAGAATAGGGTTTAGTTGTTTAGAAGGGAGAAAGTGCCCATGGATCAAAAATATCCAAATATCCCAGTTATTCCACAAAGGGTTCTTGTATGGAAAAAAAAAACCATCTTAAATCTTGTATGGGGTTTGTAAAAAAGTATCTAATGCAAACATGAGGCAAAAGGCTTTGTGGTCAGACAAGATTTGAAATCTGCGGTCTAAATTCAAAATGTTACATCTGATGCAAACCCAATATAGTGCATTACTCAGCCAACACCATCCCTACTGTCAAGCATGGTGGTAGCATTTATGTTATAGTTCTGCTTCCCATCAACAGAGACTGGGAAGCTTGTCAAGACTGATGTGAACATAGACGGAGCAAAGTCCTGGCAAATCTTAAAGAAAAGCAGCTTCAGACCTAGAACTAGGACAAAATGTTACCTCTCAGCAGGACAATGATTCAAACACCATGGCCAAAGCTACACCAGAGGGCCTTAAGAATAAGAAAGTGAATGTCCTTGAGTAGCCCAGTCGAATTCCTGGTTTAAATTCTATTGAGAATCAGTGGAAAGAATTTAAATCTACTGTCTGTTAGTACCCTAAGCAACTTCGGGGAGCTTGAGGAAATCTGCTGAGAAGAACAGAAAAAAATGCACCAAGTCAGTGTGAAGAGTTGGTAGCAACATGTGGCTGTGATTGCTGCCAAAAGTATTTCCATCAAAATATTGAGTTCATGGATTTGAATACTTATGCAATTAATGTATTGCAGGATTTTATTTTTGTTTTTTCCATCTTATCTGTTATTTTACTGTGAGATATCTTCAGGTTGAGAATTCAGTTATTGAATGAAATACTAAATTTAAAAAAAATGTGTGGATTATTTTGTAATTTCACAAAATGATTGAATACTTTTGCAGGACACTATTTCATAATGTGTGCTCAAAATGATATATTATACAATGTTGTATTGTACACTTTGGATGTATTATAAACATTCTAGTTTAGCTATAACTGCAGTATACATTTCAAATCTTTATGAGCAACTGTAGCAAGACTGGTTGTGGGATATAGTTTCTTGGCTCAGTTTGTCTTCCTTTTTATGAATTAATATAACATTCTTCATTTTGTGGTTACAGTTCCCACAGTACAGTAAGTCAGAGATGTATTTCAATACCAATTTGTTGTTTTTAGCACCTCTCAGTGTAGTTCCAGTACAGTTATATACAGTATATTGTATATATGTATTCTGCTACGTTTGTGTTGCTGTGGAGATCAGCAAGCTGGGTCTTGGATCTTGGACTCCAGATGTTGAACCAGCATTCACAGATGTAGTCTCACTGTAGTGTGTCTCCATCCAGAATGTCAATCATCCTGCAAACCACACACTGCAATGGCCACACACTGTTTCTTTTACCTGTTTGTTAAATACCCTTTTTATCCAGGCCCAGAGCTCCATGAAAGTATTTAATTTACAGAATTATTAAATTTGACATAATTCCAAAACTGAAATTTATTTTTCACTAGGTTTTAAATAGAGGTTTAATAATAAATATAATTGTTAAATTACAGTAGTTTTAAACCATAATAATGTAAAACAGAGAGGTACAATGAAAGCAGAAGGTATGTTAATTTTACTTTATGAGAGAGAAAGAGCAAAAACATGAATTTTGAAGATTAACTTAAACAATTTCATATGTATTTATTTTATGTTGATTCATTTTTGTTTTATCATATGTGGTTTTATATTTCATACAGAAGAAAAAGAGTATGGATACTATACAATTAAGTATGTAAGAATTACAAGAAAATATTTAATATTGAGATTCTGGGTAATATACAGTATTAAGCACTTAATTTTGGAACTTGTGATGTATCATGCACTGCTCTCTCTTTTATTATTCAGTATATATTAGCAACAATATTTCCCCTTTTAACATTTAGCCAAATATTTCTTATTTCCCAATCTATCCCATTGTTTTTATTAGAACATCTGAGAGGTTATTATCATGAAATTGCTAACTGTTCAGATGGTGTGTTTCTATAGTTTGGGATGTCATACAGCTACTGTACATTCAAATGATCGTGATCATTTTTGTTTTCTTGGCATGATCAGCAATTACTTATAAAAACAATTGCTATTTCTTGAATTTATTATCATTTTTGTGGTTTTAATGAAATGCTTAATTTTGTAAGTATGCACTTCAATTCTATCTATGTTTTACTTAAAAGAGTCATATTGACAATTCACATTTTTACAGAGCAGTGTTATTTTCACACATTAGACACTTTTATGTAACTATTAATGATCATAGTTGAAGAGCAGTCGCAATTGTGTTTAGCTTGAACAAAGTTGAAATGAGTAAGTCAGAATAGGCTAAAAAGAACAAAAAAAATCTTACAAATCAAAGCAGAAGCCAGCAGTATTTAAATAGCATTCCCCATATGACATGTGATGCATCTTGTATCACGTTGGCATTGAATCATTGCTTTACTCCAAATTAAATGCATAAACCACAGGGAACTGAATCATTTCTCTGTGTTACCTGACTCCACTAGTTATACAAAAAAGAAGACAAAATTTCCAGAACCTTTCCACTTTAAAATATACAAATGAGGAAAGCGTGCTGCTGAATTAGAGAGTAGCTTTGTGAGACTTTTTTTCCAGCGAAGCGAGAGAAGAATGATTACATTCCTGCTGCAGTCTTCAATGTGCCAGAGTTAGAGAGTGGAATAGGAAATGAACTGCAGTTCAATGACCCTCCATGGCCTGAGCAATGGGAGCTGGTAAGCACTGCATTTCCACTTTATTCACCTCTCCTTCCAGAACCACCACCCCAGTGCACTCTGTATGGTTTGCTAGTTTCTCTATTACTGTAAGAAAGATTGGTTATTAGTTTGCAGTAATGCCACATCAGAGTCTACTTTGTTTCCCCATGTAAAGTTACACATCCTTGTGCTCAGTTACTTTTCCTGTCTGATTCCTTTTGTTTTTGGCATAGTTTCAGGTATCAGTATAAATAGAAATGTGCATTGTATATTGCCTTATACAACTTATACTGTAAATTATACATCTCATCCATTTTTGGTAGCATAGTCTACACCATTGTCTATACCATGGAATCCAAGCAATGAGCAATGTCAAATGAGCATTGATGAGGTACAGTACAGAAGGACTCCCCGAGTTTTTGAACTGCTTCAGTTACCATGATACCTTGTTATGATTCTATAGTCCTCCACACTCTGCAAATGGGACTCTGTCAACGAAGTCCTCAAGAGTTAAACTGGCAGAAGAAAATGTATCACTTGGAATATCTCAATGGTTGTTCTGGAGAATAACGGTTCAATGGTTTTTTCCACAATAAAAGATGTAATGCACAGTCATTTTACTTCTCCAGCACATTATGAGGTCCCTTGGTGATCCACTAGTGGTAACTGGAGCAGGATAGCAATGTTTGGAAGGTGCAAGCTATGATTTAACAGAGATGAGGCTATTAAAATCAGAGTATTCACACACTTGGGTTCAGACAGAAGTGCTTTTTGGCATCAATAACTGTGACCAAGAAGCCCCTTAATATCACATTTATGAGAAAAACACATGTTATTTCTTCCTGGATTTTCTCATGTAGTATGTGAAATTATTACTCAGATGGTTCAGATAAAGGCCTAGGCCATTGTGGCGACCCTCTGCCTTCCAGGATATGGTGTGTCTTTCAGAGAGTCGGTGTGTTGCTCTAGACAGGTCTGTGTATGTTAAAGATGAGGTTTTCATTCTTCAAGCAACTTCGCTTACAAACAAACCACTTTCAATGATGTGGATAGCAACCAGGCAATCCTCATTACTTAAGCAGAGCATTGCCAGTTTTTGTTGTTCTTGCATAAATTAAAATCATGTCTTTTTTAATGGTTATGTATGCAGATTCTTAATCAATAAAGCACTTTTAAGTTTTAATTGTAACCACTATTACCAAACATTGAGCACTATTTTTTTGGATCCCAAGGACCAATATGACTCAAAGTCAACATTTCTATCAGTTCACTACTAATAATCACTGTTCACTGTTAAAAATCTCTACTTACAGTATGCCCAGTGAGTACATAGAACTCTTAGATTTAATTATTTCACAACTTATTTATATAACGCTGTCTTTGACAAGACAAAAACATAAAATAATAAAATAATCAAATTACCTGTCATTGTCATACTGCATATCACATATTTTTCTTAAAACTTTGTAATGATGAAGTGTTAACCAATCCTCCATTGAATTTTTACTTAGGAAGAAAAGAACTACCTAACGATGTCACACATCTGAAAGGTGAGTAACAACACTGAATGAACAGGAAGATATGGCCTTTTATTTCCCAGAGTTGTGACATTTTAAGTATCCCTTTGCCTCCTAAATTAACACTCAGTGAGGAATTGGTTGTCATGTTTCACTATTGAAGAGACTGTCTTGATATATACTGTACAACAATGAGGTAACCTTAAACAGGAAAAGTAGCCAAATTGTCATACTTTTGATATGTCAGATCTACTAATACACGAAATATTCATGATATTGTAAATCCATCAGCTAGGTCATGACTGTATTGAACTAAAATATTAATTATACATTTAAGAAAAAAAAAGCTATGTTATGTTGTGTATATTGTCTGACTAAATGCTTGTAGGCGTTGTGCCATGAAATATAGAATCAAAGGTGGAAGGCCAGCCACAGAGCAAAAAATACATTTAGTTATGTATGGCCGCTACATGATAGTTTCAGCAAAAAATAATATCTTATCTACACCTTGCCATTCTCACATAACTACTTGTTATTAAGAAATATTTAATATGAATATTTTCCTCAATGAAAAGTGAACAAAAGCTTTGGGCAATTTATAAACTTATAATCAGATGTGTTATCTTTTTTCATAATAATTACCAAAAAAAAACAATGCTGGAAACTTTTCTTACCTTTTTCTCAGTTCTAGAGTGATTTCTATGATTTATATCTACATATTTTATTATTTCGGTCTCCCAATAAAACTTTTAATGACCCAAATTATAAAAATATGGTTTGGGACAGACTTATTTATGGAATAGTAGTGTATATAAAAGCCAGGAATATGAGTCTGTGGGGCCTGGAGAGCTTTCTTCAGATCTGAAAGTCTTGTCAAGCTATCACAGCAAAACCCTTATTCTCAGCTTTCCCAGCTGGATGGCTTGAATGAGAATAATATGTCATTCAATCCTTGCACATTGCTTTTCATAGGCCCCAAGGTTGTGATCTATTCTGTTAAATATTATGAAAAATCTGCTGACTTTATATAAACATTCACCAAGTTTTAAATCCTGCAGAAAATTCTGTACTTGTTTAGACAGGCATTATGATGAGATTTCAAATGTTGATTCTGCTTTGTTTTCACTAAAATGTCTACTCCTAAATAGATAGATACTTTATTGATCCCGTGAGGGAAATTGCAGTGCAACAGCAGCTTAACACA